CCCACTAGGCCGCCCAGGTGCCCCAATAAATAAATATTTTTTAAAAATTAAAAAAATGTTACCAGTTTTACTTATTTTTTCTGTAAAGCAGAGAACTAGGAAATCGAAAGTCACTCGTGGCTCACGTTATGATTCTATTGTATAGCACAACTCTAGAACTTTCTGAGTACTCTAGAATCAGATGGCCCTACCCACAGTGGCAGAACACCCTCCTTTGGTCTGGAGCGGCAGATAAGCTCTTTTCCACCCATGATTATGAAACCCCCCAGTCTAGATAGCTCTGTTCATTCCAGAACACTCTCACCGGCCCAGGTTCTCTTAATCTAGAACCACAGGCAAAGTGCCAAAATCTGGAACTACCTGGGTGACTCATAGCTCCACCCATGATTCCGGCACCTTGTAACCATAGGTCCAAACCAGCTCCCCTTCCCACAACCATAAAACTTTGCTCTTTGACTTATAGCCTCAGGTAGTTTAGGTGGAAGTCCTAGAACATTCTAGATGCCCAGAACCAGTTCTTTCCACGCCTTCGGGGCAGAGATTGACAAACTTCTTATGCAAGGGGACAAACAGTAAATATGTCTGTCTTTGTGAGCCAGACGGTCTCTGTTGCAACTACTCAACCCCTGGCCGTTGTAACATGAAAACCACCATAGACAGTCCGTGAATGAATGGGCCTGGTTGTGTCTCAATAAAACTTTATTTGTGGATGCCGGAATTTGAGTTGCACATCTTTTTTATGCATCAAGAAATATTATTCCGTTTTCTTCCAACCGCTTCAAAATGTAAGAGCCGGGGCGCCTGGGTGGCTCAGTCGGTCAAGCGACCGACTCTTGACTTCGGCTCAGGTCACGATCTCGCGGTTCATGAGATCGAGCCCCATGTGGGGCTCTGTGCTGACAGCGCGGAGCCTGCTTCGGACGCTCTCGCTCCCTCTCTCTCTGCCCCGCCCCTGCTCGTGCGCACTCTCGCTCTCAAAATAAAAACATGAAAAAAAAATTTTTTTTTTAAACCTAAGAGCTGGTTAGCTCACGAGGCGTGCCAGAACAGGCGGCGGGTTGGATGTGGTCCGCAGATGGCGATCTGCCAACCCCTGCTCTAGAACCCGGTGCTCCACATGGCAAACCTGCCCTTCCGTCCCAATTCCTTCTAGAACATTCTCACCGGACCGTCTGGAGTCTACTCAACCAACCTCAGAGCCTCTCTAGAAGCAACTCGTCACTGGCCAACTTTGTGCCAATTTGGGAGCCTGAGCTGGGCTATTCTGAAACTGCCCAGTCCCTGCGGCCAGGGTGGACAGGACACTCACCCTCCTGGAGGGCAGGGTATGGCACCAGGGTCTTGGGGCTCTGGAAGAAGACAGAAGAGGGGCAGGACTGAGTCCCCTGGCTTGGCTGCTGGCAGCAGAGGTGGCCCAGGAGGCGGGACAGGCTCTACCTGGACACTGGCAGGGGGCTCTTCGGGAACAACCAGAGGGACTGTCTCCAGCCACGGTTCTGGGGAGCTGCTTGAGCTCCGGCTGCCGGCCTGCTCGGCAGAAGCGCCCTCCGGCCATTCCGGGGGGCCGGCATCCCCGTCTGGGTCCTCAGGGGGCTGCAACAGGCGAGGAGCAGGGTCCGGAGGCTCCTTCGGACAAGACTGGGGAGGAGGACACTCCTGGCAGTGCAGAAGGCTCAGCAGGTCGTCCCGGCCGGCCTCGGCAGACAAGAGCCCATGGGCATCAGCGACGTCCTGGGAGGCGAGGCCGTGGCCGGTGGCAACGTGCAGGGGGCAGGGAGGTCCGTCTGGGGACAAGCTCGCCAGATCACCAGGCAGAGCCTCAAACTGCTGCACCAGTTCCCGAATACTTGGCCCATCAAGTTCCATCTGATTCAGGCTGCCGGGGCCTCCCGGCACCGGGTCCCACTGGCAGTTGGGGGTGACGTCCTGAGGGGGTGAAAGGGCGTCCCTGGGCTCCTCCAAGTCCATAGCTGGAGGGCCTGGGGGAGACTGGGAAGTTGTCAGGGATTCCATGCCTGGGCCAGCATCTGAAAGAGAGATTCAAAGATACGATCTCCTGAGTGCCAGCCAGGTGCCAGGCTCTAGGTGGGGGCCGCTCGTACAGAACACATAACCTAAGCCGCACCATACCCTCCAAGGAAGGGTCCGCTATGATCTCCATTGTATAGATGAGGAAACTGAGGCGCAGAACAGGCCGTTGTAAGACAGTAGCTCCACGGGCTCCAAACCCTGAGGTCCCGCCCCCCCCCCCCCCCCCCGCGGCCCTGTACCTGTCACCCCAGGCCTCTCCCAGCCGTGGACCCCGTCACCCCAGACTTAGTTCTTCCACATCTTCCTCCACCGCGACCTTGTAACCCAGGTGGGAGACACACCCTGACTCTACAGACCCGGTTGGTACAGTTCCATGAGACCGCGGGCTCAAGACCTCAGTCTAAGCCGAGATCCAAGACCCCAGAAATCAGAGCCTCGTCTCAAAACCTCCAATGTCACGCTCAAGATCAACCCCAGGCTCTGACCCGAACCTCAGAACCCAGCCTGAAGACCTAACTCGAGCCTAAAGCTACAAGTGAAGACCCCGGTCCTCCCGAAGACCCCAGACTCAAGACTTCAGACCCCCTACCTCAGCCGCCGGCTCCAGACCCCGTTCTGCCCCGTCAGGCCACTCACTTCCCACACCGAGGCGGCCTCAGCCCGCAGGGCCCCCAGGACCCCACGCCCCGGCAGGACAGCCCTCCAGTGGCCGCGGCGCCGGCAGGTCCGTCCGCGCAGCGCTCCCGGCCCACTGGGCTTGCGCGCGTTTGCCGGGCCTGCTGGGAAATGTAGTTCTCCCAGCGAGCCTCGCGGCGCCGGAGCGCCAGGTGTCGGAACCAAGGGTTCGAGTCCAAATGCTCTGTTTACACAGAGTGAGAGCCCGGGCTGGCCTCTGGGCCTGTTTCCTCAATTACAAAACGGGGTTAGTGATCATTGCCTGCCTTCTGCGGCTGTGGGCATTATCCCAATGGATGAGAAGAAATGGGACTGGAAAATATCAAAGGGAGAGGCGGTCTCTTTCGACTCCAGGGACACCGGAAGCAGCGCCGGGACCCTATTTTACATGGACTTCCGGTTTCGCTCACAGTAGGGAGGAGGGATGGCGCGTCCTGGCATAACTTTCCCTCCCTGAGCTTCGCTTCCGCAATTATAAACTGGGGATAATAATAGCAGCTACCTGCTACTGGTGAGGATTAAACGAGATCGAGCTGGCTACAGATTTAGCAAAAGGGCTGGAGGATAATGAGGCTATTAAGTATTAGCCAATTACTTTTAGGTTTTCAGTAATTGCTCATTGAATAGAATCAGGAATGCATAAGGTGTGATCTTCAAGTGGTAAGTAACCAAAGAAGGGCAATAAGTAAATGAAATCTCTTTGGAAAGTCCCCTCACACGGTAACTGAAGACCCCTGTAAAAGAAGTCACGGTGAATGGCTAACGGTGGAGTACTACATTTCCCAGAAATCTCTAGGAGCCTACAACTCCCAAGCACCCCTTAGCCCCTGTCGTCTCCCGGAAGAGTGCACGTGCGGACAGCCGGCATACGCCATGGCGGCCAGATGCCTCTTCGGGGCTACGCGGACCTGGGCCAGCTGGTCGGCCCGGGAGCTCCCGGTCCCTGTCGAGCCTGGAAGACTCCTTGTACGGGGTTACGCCAAGAGACCGGGTGAGCTGGGTTAAGAGGGACCCAGATGGGCATGGTTTGGGAATTGGGAGTTAATAGTGCGCAGGCGCTTGTGTGGGAGGCGGTGCCTAGAATCCGGGCGCGAGCTTAAAGAGGCAGACGCTGAGCTATTTGCGCAGGCGCGCTCTGAGGGACCTAGGAAGGGATTTGGCTCACTGCGCCGGTGCGGGATGTGTTTTGTTGCGGGGAGGGGGGG